AACAAGGCACGTAGGTCCCCCCTCCAATGGGCTCACCACCTATAGGAGGGGCCATAGGGGTCGGGTGCGATGTGAGCTGGGCAGTGGCCAAAGGCGGAGACCTTGGCGGTCCAATCCTCGGCTGCAGAAGCTCTAGGGACATGGAATGTCACCTCTCTGATGGAGAAGGAACCTGAGCTGGTGCGCGAGGTTGTGAAGTTCCGGCTAGATATAGTCGGACTCACCTCGACGCACGGCTTGGGCTCTGGAACCAGTCTCCTTGAGGGAGGTTGGACCCTCTTCCACTCTGGAGTTGCCCGTGGGGAGAGACGCCGAGCAGGGGTGGGCATACTTATTGCCCCCTGGCTGGGCGCCTGTACATTGGGGTTTACCGCCGTGGATGAGAGGGTAGCCTCTCTTCACCTTCGGGTGGGGGACGGGTCCTGACTGTTGTTTGCGCTTAGATAATCACTGTTTATTTAGGAAAGCGGCAGTTCAGAATACCCACCCTTTTTGGAGTCCTTGGAAGGGGTGTTGGAGAGCACTCCTCCTGGGGACTCTCTTGTTCTGCTGGGGGACTTCAATGCTCACGTGGGCAATGACAGTGAGACCTGGAGTGGCGTGATTGGGAGGAATGGCCCTCCCAATCTGAACCCGAGTGGTGCTTTGTTGTTGGACTTCTGTGCTCGTCACGGATTGTCCATAATGAACACCATGTTCAGGCATAAGGGTGTCCATATGTGCACTTGGCACCAGGACACCCTAGGCCGCAGTTAGATGATCGACTTTGTAGTCGTGTCATCGGAATTGTGGCCGCATGTCTTGGACACTCAGGTGAAGAGAGGGGCGGAGCTGTCAACTGATCCCTATCTGGTGGTGGGTTGGCTCCGCTAGTGGGGGAGGAAGCTGGCCAGGCCTGGCAGGCCCAAGCGTATAGTGAGGGTCAGCTGGGAACGTCTGGAGGAATCCCCTGTCAGGAGGAGTTTCTGGTCCACCATCCGGCGGCTCCGGGCGGGAACGCAAAGCAACATCAACACTGTTTATGGTGGGGATGGGGTGCTGCTGACCTCAACCCGGGACGTTTTGGGTCAGTGGAGGGAGTACTTCGAAGACCTCCTCAATCCCACCGACACGCCTTCCAATGTGGAAGCAGAGTATGGGGACTTGGGTGTGGACTCCCCTATCTCTGGGGCAGAGGTCGCTGAGGTGGTTAAAAAGCTCCTCAGTGGCCGAGCCCCGGGGGTGGATGAGATCCGCCCGGAGTTCCTTAAGGCTCTGGATGCTGTGGGGCTGTCCTGGTTGACACGCATCTGCAGCATCGCTTGGACATTCGGGGGCAGTGCCTCTGGACTGGCATACCGGGGTGGTGGTCCCCCTCTTTAAGAAGGGGGACCGGAGGGTGTGCTCCAACTATAGGGGGATCACACTCCTCAGCCTCCCTGGTATGGTCTATTCGGGGGTTCTGGAGAGGAAGGTCTGCAGGATTGTCAAACCTCGGATTCAGGAGGAGCAGTGTGGTTTTCGCCCTGGCCATGGTACAGTGGACCAGCTCAATACTCTCCGCAGGGTTTTGGAGGGTTCATGGGAGTTTGCCCAACCAGTCTACATATGTTTTGTGGACTTGGAGAAGGCATTAGACCGTGTCCCTCGGGGAGTCCTGTGGAGGGTGCTCCAGGAGTATGGGGTGCCGGGCTTCCTTTTAAGGGCCGTTCGGTCCCTGTATGACCGGTGCCAGAGTCTGGTCCGCATGGGCGGCAATAAGTCAGACTTGTTTCCAGTGAGGGTTGGACTCCGTCAGGGCTGCCCTTTGTCACCGATTCAAATATTCACATTCCCAATCAATACACAAGATAAATGTAAAGTCAGTAAGTTCTTGTTGTGTTGCGTATGAATTGTATTTATGAGCTACAGGGTCTACTTATGTTCCTGAGAAGGAGAGCCTTAAACTTTCTGCAGTTTTCTGATTTCCAGACAGTTATGAATTAAAATCCTATGGTTGACACATATCCCTGAAAAAAATCCATTGGATTTACTTAGTTGGTGTGGTACCACATCAATGGTTTGCTTTACCAGTCCTATATACATTTGGTTTGCTTCTACCCTAAATTAAGTTAATAAAATGTAATTTAATTGAATAAATGATCAATGTTGATAATCCTACATTTTTGTTCATTGTTCATCCAGCATGTTTTGATCATTTTAGCTACATACTTTCATCATGCGTGTCACCCCTTACGCATTCGAGCCTCCGGTTTCCTCCCTGGTGTGGCCCTAATGATGTGGCCATGCCTGTTAATCATTTGTCTCACCTCTCGTTTCAGCCCTTGTGTGGATCACTCCAGCTGCCTCCCGTTTGCCCCATTGTTAATACTGTCTAAGAGTGCTTCCCAGTGATGTGCTCCCCAACCCTGTCATTAAAGTCATTCTGTGAAGGTGCTCTAGTGCTTTCCCCGTGTTCACCTGCTTGTGTGACCCCTCGCAGTCTGCCTTGTTTTGCCCTGTTCCCATGTAAATTTGAATAGAGCCCCTTGTCATTCACCTTTGTGCCTGTCCTCCATTTTCTTGCTTGCAGGACACACCAATGTCACATGTATGTTATTTGATCATATAATTTAAAAATGAGTCTATTCCTTCTGTTTTAATGGTTTAAGTGTTAGTTATGTTGGTAAAAATGAATGTTGATGGAAAAATTGGAAAATCAAGCATTTCATACTACACAACTGCAAGAACAAATATATTATAAAAACACAATGTTACATCAGTTTAACTGAACAAAAATCCCAGTGTGCAGAACAGTCCTTTGAATTCAGGCCAGTCTGTGAGGCTGTGTGAACACAAACAAACAAACACACACACACACACACACACACACCCCAACACACACACGGACACACACACACACACACGCACAGACACACGCACACACACACACGCACGGACACACACACGCACAGACACACGCACACACACACACGCACAGACACACACACACACACACACACACACACCCCAACACACGCACGGACACACAGTACTGTTACCTCATACTGGCAACAGAGAAGAACAACAAAATGCATTAGATGTATATTGTTCTATGTGTGTGTGTGTGTGTGTGTGTGTGTGTGTGTATTTGAATGCCTGAAATAAATGGTGAACTTCCAGCGGAACCAGGGGGACAGTGAGAAAGGAATATAAATAAATAAAATACAACAGATTACTGGAAATACTAGCATTTGACATTATCTAAGCTAACTATTTGTTATTTATATTAATACCAGCTAAAAACATCTGACATTAATGTTTCCTGATCTGGCCTAAGTAGTTACCTATGTTGCATAAGCTTGCTAGCTAAGTAACAGGAAAAAGGCTTTTGGAATTTGGCCCATGGATGACACATTTTGGAAAACCTGGTTTATTGGCTTCATCTGGAAAAATACAATCATAGCTGGAGGTTGGAAGTGCACTGTGTGACCTGGGACTAAATGTGAAAAATGCAAGGAGTAAAAATTATCATCAGCACCTTGCCCCCCACCCCCACCCTTATAGCAGCTGTTATTGAAAAATGAACTCACAGCCTAACACTGGCTCCATGCAGTAGGGGGCAGTGTAGCAATCCCAGAAGTCTCACTAAAGAGGTTTGTTGGTGACATGATTAGGACTGTCGCCATTGGCAGGGCATTCGAGCCCCACTACAAGCTCTCCCCAGCCGAGCCGCTACACTAATAAGTAAATGAGCACAATACACATGTTGACAATTACAGTGTTGTACGACAATGCAGTCTTGCATAAAGATGGCAGACATCCTGCCATCTTTATGTAAAACTGTCTACTGTGTAGAAGCGGGGCTATCTCAACGAAAATGTTGTGCTGTGACTTTATGACATTATACATTAATTGCTACTGTTGTTAAACAACTGAATATGCCTCTGCAACAATGTAATCTACTACATTAGGTCTACCCAAAGAAAAGTGATATAGGCTTAATATATTTTTTGTACATGCATTTGCATGCAAAACATAGATATATCCTCAATGACAAAATGAAATTACCTTAATGATTTTTTCAACACAGAGCTAACTTCTTTTTTATTGGTAGTACTGTGTTTTAGTGCCCTTAAACGTAATATTTACCACTGTGCTACATGCCCTAGTTCATTGCTTTATTTAATTCTCTTCTTGCCAATCTCCATCAGATTGTCTGGCGCTACAATGGTGGTCATATCGTGTTTATTTCCTCCTCAAACTACGCATTCACAAACAGTGTAGTTACAGCCATTTTCAGCCATCGAAGGGGTGTCTCATGTACAATTGCACTGTATTGCCACAATTTTATACACCGATATATTATTCTACTTATAATATAATCTCCAGCTTAAACTCCTGGTGAGAAACTGGAAGTTTATCATAAAATGTTGATATTTTCTATTTGTTATAATAGCCCGGACATGAAAGAAAAGCAACAAAAATGAGAAAATACTCAATTTATAGTTAAGTTAACATTTTCATGCTGTACATGCTGCTTCCGCCGCAACCTCAGGCGATCGCTTCCAAAATCGTGGTGACTCATGCGGTGCACGTATAGCTGCCCAGGAAGAAATCCGCTGCAAAACCAGTTAAAATTAATATAGAACCTAATGCAACGTAATAAGGAAATTAATACATTTTATAGACCGGGTTAAAACCGTTGCATTTCCTACCCGTTTTCTCCCCTACCGCCCCTTTCTCCCATCGCATCCCCACGCATGACAGCGGTCGCTTCGTCAGCAGCGGATTTTGGGATCGTCGCATGATGGAGCCCCATTTATTGCTCCTATTTCTGGGGGTTTTCTCCGTTAAACTCGTTGGCATGCAGGGTTTGAGCACAGAGGAAGACCAGTCTCAGGATCTCGAATGCAAAATGAAAAGTGTCACCGTGTCGGCGTTGCCTTTCTTGCGGGAAAACGATCTGAGCATCATGCACAGTCCATCGGCCTCCGAGCCTAAGCTCCTCTTCTCTGTTCGGAATGATTTTCCAGGAGAGATCGCCGTTGTGGACGACCTGGAAAACACCGAGCTTCCTTATTTTGTATTAGGTGAGTTTGTATAATGATGAACAATGCGATCGATTCCTTTTCTGTATGGGCCCTTGTATCCCGCAAATGCACCGCATCACTTGTATTTCTCAAATTTATTTTCAGGAAGGTCTCGATGGCATGATTTACATTTTGCTGCACATCGCGCTTTTCTTAGTCGGTTTTAAGATGTATTGCCTTAAAAAACTCCACTAGGCTAATAAAAATATTTAGTTTTCCGGAAGATGTCAAAGATTGTAATACTTGTTTTTTTTTTTTTAAACCAATATTAGGTGTGATGAGCTCCATTTAACACTAACAGTTCATATAGACAAGGAATCGCAAACCATCGCTAGACAAGTATATATATATATATAAATCATATATATATATACATATATATATGATTTACTTTACTGTTTTCACGTCACACTGTTTACAAGTTTATTAAACGTAACATTTAGTACTTTCCTTTATATATTAGTATTTTATATATGTAATCAGTGCATGCTCTTTACCTCTATTATTTGTTTGGCAACATAGTTATATTGCATACTGTACATGTAATTTACTACTGTGTAGCTGTCCATGGTCCTGATGTGACAATTCTTCATATACAAAAGCGTAAAATCAAAACGTCTGTCGAGGATGACGACAGTGCTTTAAAGAAATTTGAAATCACACAGTAAACAGCGAGAAATGCAGTAGCTGAAATGACTTTGAAATTATTGCTGTGCAAGAAGTTTCAAAAGATGTGTTTGACCATGCTGCCTTGCTTAATGTTGCTTAAAAGAGTATATTATTATGCATAGACTTGTGTGCATAAATCATCACACAGGAACATTTGAAATGCAAGTGGGCAGTCTGGTAAATTGAAGTTTCTTTTTATTGGTTTTTAGATTTTGGTTTATGTATAAGGTAAAGATGTCAATTAATATAACACTAAAACTGCACTACTAGTCCAACAAATTGCCACTAAAGTAATGTGCGAAGATTCTTAAGTACATCACCATTTTACTTTTACCTGATTGATCGCTGTGAGGTATAATCCTTGAATATGACATTAATGATCCATTAAAGCAGTGAAGAACTGGTATAAAGACCAGAAACAAGACGTTAATTTATACGCAAAATCCATTCCCTTTTTAAAATAACAGTGAATCCAATGATTAATCTTCATCTTATCTCGGATGGCTCTGGGTGTAACAGAGTGCCCATCCTGGGTAGGATAACAGCGCACACACTTACCCTCACACAGTATGGGGAAAGCAAAATTACCAGTATGGTTTAACTGTATGCGTTTGGATGATGTGAGGAGACATGAATACCTTTGTAACTTTGTAAAAAGGAAACAGTCGGTTTTAGGAAAAGAATGTGACACATCCTGAAATGTAATGTCATCTATTAGCAATGTCTGTATTAACCTGTACAAGTCCCTCCACTACTCACTGCTAGAATTGGACTGACGGAGACCATGTTAAATAGCATGTCTGTTGCGTCCATAGAGGTTATTCCTGTTTATCAAGAAGCAGGCACAAACTTCATCCTGATCAAAGAACCGTACTTCTTACAGGTCTTATCAAACATTTATCCAGTAAGTCTTGAGTCTGTTAATTTATTGTTATTGGATATGTGCCAACAGGAGTGAGAGAAATTTATAATGATTTCACAGTACAATGGGTAACAGGTTGACGAAGGAACAGATTACAAGTAACAAATACACAATCGGGGTCACTAATTATGACAAAGATTATTGCGACCCTTTATGTACAATATGGAATTGCTTAAATTGGATTTTGTCTTTTCAGTAGCCTGACATGTGCTGTTTGAAAAAATTTATATTTTGACAGTTTTGAGGTGAGGTGATATTCAGGTGATATTAATGTTTTATTCATATACAGAAACAGATAGTAACCCAGCTGTGGACATTGAGGGAGATGTATTTTATGCTTTTAGGATTCCCAGGGGGAACATTCTTACAGATATGCCATAAAGCACAACTTTATGGGATTTGGGATCACCTAGGTGATGTGAATTTTTCAGTTCAGTGCAGTTCAGAGAAAGTTTTTAGCTTTTTCTTTTAGCACATTAGTTAGTTCACTGATTAATTGTGGTTTTGATGTTTAGTATATCAGTTCAGTTAGGAAAATGTATGCTGTTTAGGGTTAAATCTGAATTATTCACCCTCTAACACATTCAGGGATATTCTGAATAATTCATAAATTAATCAATTTATTTTGACTCTGAGTACGCCAGCTGAGAGATGAGGTAGAGTGGCAATTAAAAAAAAACACAAGCAAACACAACAATTATATCTATTAATCAGTAAACAGTACAGAATGTAAACACTTTATTACTGAAAAATCCTGCATCAGTCAGGAAAACCTTGGGCGGGGGAGTCAGGCTGAGGTAACAGGGGGTTGGAGGGGGAGAAGAGTCGAAGCCAGGGGCGGTAGCAAGGTCGCAAAACCAGGTCTGTCCTGGGAGTGCTGGTTAAGGCAGGTACATGTACAGACACTGGGAGATTGGTGCACACGCTCAATGGGAATGAGATCAGGGAGAACCCAACTCCACACAGAAGGGGGATCAGGGAGAAGTTTCACATAGCTACACACAGAAGGAGGAACAAGGATAACCTGCACACAGCTCCACACAGAAGGAGGAACAGGGAGAACCTATGCACAGTTCCACACAGAAGGAGGAACAGGGAGAACCTGCACACAGCTGCACACAGAAGGGGGATCAGGGAGAACCTGCACACAGGTCCACACAGAAGAGGGAACAGGGAGAACCTGCACACAGCTCCACACAGAAGGGGGATCAGGGAGAACTCGCACACAGGTCCACACAGAAGAAGGAACAGGGAGAACCTGCACAAAGCTCCATACAGAAGGGGGATCATGGAGAATATGTACACAACTCCACAAAGAAAGGGGAACAGGGAGAACCTATGCCCAGTTCCACACAGAAGGAGGAACAGGGAGAACCTGCACACAGCTCCACACAGAAGGGAGATCTGGGAGAACCTGCACACAGGTCCACACAGTAAGGGGAACAGGCAGAATCTGCACACAGTTGCACACAGAAGGGGCATCAGGGAGAACCTGCACACAGCTCCACACAGAAGGGAGATCTGGGAGAACCTGCACACAGCTCCACAAAAGAAGTAGGAGCAGGGAGAACCTGTACACAGCTCCACACAGAAGGAGGAATAAGGAGAACCTACACACAGCTCCACATAGAAGGAGGATCAGGCACTCAGGGGAAAACAGGGATAAATGGAAATAAGTCAAACCATTTCTCACACTCAGGGACCCGGATAGACTGTTTGAGTAGGCTTGGCAGTTAAGAGAAACCAGAAACAGGAGTGAAACTCTGGGGCACAGGCCACGGTACACCCTAGATGGGATGCCAATTTATCTCAGGGCACCCTTTTGAACTTCTGTATTTTGTTAAATCTTTAACTATTGACATTTAGAATTGAAAGTAGTGAACCAAGTATGTAAAGGAAGAATTTGGAGTCAGCATGTAGAAAGTTAGAAAAGCTAGATTATATGAGTGGAACATTTCAAATGTGATCTACTGTAGGTTCTTCAGGAGTTGTGCAATTCATGGAGCAAATGGTTCTTGAAATTAAAATGTCACTCATTTAATTTTTTTTAAAATTTTGTATCCATGCATGGTAAAAAGAGTGAGTTATTTTGGGCCATGTACAGCACTGTGCCAAACGCACACGCACACAGACACACACAGATAGATTACTATACGCAGTCATGCATCACATAACGACAGAGATATGTTCTGTGAAATGCGTCATTAGGTGATTTTGTGGTTGTGCAAGCATCATAAAGCATACTTACACAGACCTAGATAGGATAGCCTACAGTAAACATTTTTATAAGTTGAAAGAGTACACTCTAAAGTATTGATAAAAAGTACATAGCAAATACATAACCCAGTAACGTGGTTGTTTATTATCATTATCAACTATTATGTACTGTGCATAATTATATGTGCTATACTTTTGTATGACGGGCAGCATAGTAGGTTAGTTTACACCAGCTTCACAAACATGTCAGTAATGCATTGGGGTACGACATTATGATGGCTTTCAGTTCCATTATAATCTTATGTGGTCCGTCATTGACCAAAATGTCATTATGTGGCGTGCGTGCTTGTGTGTGTGGATTAAGTTTATATTATATCGTGGGGACCAAATTATTCTGCTGGGGGACTTCAGTTCTCACATGGGTAATGATAGTGTAACCTGGAAGGGTGTGACTGGGAATGTTGAATCTAGACTAATCTAAATCTAAACCATTGAGACAACAGTTACTGATCATTGGCACGTATTCTAATGTTAAATTGTATTGTATTTGGGTAAATATACGCTTACTATCCAGATAAATAGCTTTCATCATATTTCACATTTGCACAGTACTGCACATTGTTAAATCATCATAACATGTGGAACCTAATCTGTTGTTTTGTCCAAAAATGAATTTTGAATAGAACTGGTTATGGCATCCAGTGGCATAAAACCAGTGACTCCCAAAGCCACAAAACCCTGTACAAGGGCAGGTTTCAGGCTACAATTGAATGTTCTGGAGCCAATGACCAACACCCATCATATAAAACTGAACCCAATCTACTACTGAAGTATGAGAAACATAATTACTCCTTATAATTAGTGCTAATTGAAGACTGGAGCAGTGGAACGTAAGTAAGTGTATACTGTGTAGGTCAAAGCATGACTGCATTGTCTCTTTTTTTCCTTTGGATGTCAGAGAGTCATGACTGATGCAGAAGAATTCCAGAGTGAAGGAATGACTGAAGGTTTTTTTTTCTTGGTGAGAAAAGGTTAACTACAAGCTGAATGTTAGTGAAAATAACTTAGATATTATTTTCACAAACTGTAAGGAAATAGACAGATTGCCTCAGTGTACAACACCAGTGCCTCATGCCTCTAGGGTTGGGTTGAATCCGGTCCAGTTCTGCTTGTGTGGGGATTGCATGTTCTACTTAAGCACTGTGGAAAAAGTCTTTGACAATGTCTGACAATCAGTGTATTGCCAGATATTCAACACCACAAAATATTTGATTAAAGGGAACTTGTAAGAAGAAAGGAAGCAAAATTTTGATACAATGCCTCTGAAACTCAGTACAGTGGAACCTCGGATTACGAGTAACGCGGTTTACGAGTGTTCCGCAAGACGAGAAAAGATTTTTAATAAATTTTGACTTGGAAACCGAGCAAGTCCTGGTTTACGAGCGCCAAGTATCATCAAAAATCATATGGCACACATGCGCTCCTTGTTTTTCTTGTTTTTACGTGCACTCGGCTTCAAAACAGGAAACGCATGCGTGCGCTTCTTGTTTTGATGCTGAGTGCACGTCATCACAACTGAACCAATGGTTATTCACTTTCTCACCCTGTGGAATTGTGGGTAATCGTCTCCCATGCTCGGTCTCAGTCGGCATGCCTCACTCGTATAGTCAAAATTTAGTAGAAAAGCACCACCTGAATAAGGGCGTAGCAGTGCGAGCGATGAATCTGTTTAACGACAATGCAATGTCCACATTTTTGCGAAATCGAAAAGGAGGCAATAGAGGCTGTCATTGGATGGGTTCCTTGTTAAAGTCGCACAAACAGAAAAAGATTCCAGTGAGCCAACAGATAGCAGTGATTCCGTTAATTATAGTGAAAGTCGTCCTACAAAATAACCCTCCTCATATGAGTTTCCATTATTTCTAATGGGAAAATTTACTTTGATATACGAGTGCTTTGGATTACAAGCATGTTTCCGGAACGAATTATGCTCGTAAAACCAAGGTACCACTGTATTTGGTTACAGCAGTTATAGTATCACCAATGGCTACGGCACTTACTGTGGTTATTGAGTCTAACCAAGTTTTATATAGTTACATGGTGATACTTTGGAGGAATTTTGGCCTAGTTCTCCTTATATACAAAACTGCATTAAATCACTGACATTTTTTCTAGTGGATGGCAGCATATTTTGTTTATAAATGTGATCCATGATATATTTGGTTGGTTAGAATAAGCTAAGAAAGATGACAAATATCATTTATGCACCTATCCAATGCTGCATAATAATAATAATAATACATTTATTTTATATAGCACTTTTCTAGATACTCAAAGTCACTTTACAAAGGCAAATCTGGCACAAGGCTGGGGCAAGCAAGGAACATTATGAAATAAAACAAGATTGTTATATGGGATGCTGCACGCTGCACGCTGGCTGACCCTGCGCTCTGACCCCCCAGACATGCTGTTACCTCTTTTTGTCTGTGTGTCTCGTGGAGAGCAAGATAGGATTGGCAAAAAGACAATTTCCCCATGGACATCAGTACACTATCACTATTCTTTTTTATTTTAAAATGCCCCTGCTTTAGGTAATAAAAATCTTAATTTTGATAATATCTAATTATGTTTTGAATGACTGTGTAATTTCAGGGATTCCCTGTGGCAGGTGCCTGAAATGAGCTGCATTTTAATTTTCAGTATCTATTCGTCAGGTGGTACCAGGCTGTCCTCTGAACAGTCAGTAGGCACTTTTACTTTCATCGGCTTGACACAAAACTGACACTCCCCTCCAGTTTGAGAACCTCGCCTTCCAGATGACGACAGTGGTTGTCTTTATGAGGAACATGAAGTAAATGGGCAGAGTGAATTATATTTCAGCATTTTTCATTTGTTTATTCTCTTTGCTTTGATCCTACTACCTTAAATTGTTGATATCTATTATTATTAATTTTTGCCTGAGACTGTTTTGCTGGCAAAGGAACCTCATGAAATATCAGTATCAGTCTTAGTACCTTTAGATAAGTACAGTCCTGCAATGAAATTGCTGAAATTATTATTAATACTTATTTGCTCATGGGGTCACCAATAAAATATGTATTTACATCAGTTTCAAAGGCTAAGATAATAAACTTTAATTACAATGATTAGATGGGGCAGGAGCAACAAGCTTATTTACAGAACTGTGGACCACAAAAGGGCAAATAGTTAAAAACCAAACAGAGGCAGCTGAAGTCAAGCAAATCAGAATAAGAATCCAAATCTGTTGTCCAATTACAGGTAGAAAGTCATAAGGTTGACCTGTGTCAGGTCCAGGTCAAATAATTGAATCCAAACCAAAGACTCAAAGCAAGAAAACTGATGAAGCAAGCAGGAGTCATATAAGGAAAACAGATCATAAAAGATGTACTCTGCATAGTGGATACCTCAATACTTCATGAGGAAGTCAGTGAAAACCAGGTACTTTTATAGGCCAAGGAATTATGTTAATGAGCTCCGGGAAGGCGGGGCTGGAGCCGACTGGGTGTAGCTGGATGGATGTTTGGCATTTAAATGAATAATTGATCATAGATACTTTCAAGACATGAAAAAGTTCTTTTAAAAATATGCTGTGCTATATAAATATACATTATAAATAAATATATAAATAAACCATGCATCCATTCATCCATATTTCTGCCTATGCGGTACAGGATCAAGTCAGTACACAATAACTATTAAAAACACTCCTTAAGCAACTCTTTTTACTGTAATTGATGGTAATGAAATTGTGATCCCCTTTCAAGAATTGCTACCCACAGGACACCTTCTTCACTTCAGCGTTTAGCCCCAATGTGTGGTGCTGTATCTCTTCCCCTGTGCTGTCAATAAATGCCGTTTTTCCTGAGGCACAGTCCACTGCCAGCTAATGTTTCCATGGCAACTGTTTGCTACCTTCCTTTTTGCCTCAGCTTTATTCTGTGGAGTGGCTGGCACTCATGCCGGAAGGCACTTTCTCACTGTTATTTCCTATTGATTAATTTTTAGAACTTAAATACAGCATATATTGCACTGTCACAGTCTCTAATATATATGTTTAAATCATAATTCCTCAGTAGTTACTGTTGGTGTGCAGTATGCTTAACTGAAACAAATGTTTATTTATATAACGTGTCCTTCATCTCTTTAAATAGCTTCAGTTTGAAAATAGAGAGAAGAGTCACATGTGACGGTTTATATTTAATGTGCGTAACTAGGCACACAGCATCTTTTGTAAGAATCACTCTGGTAAGGCCAGAAAAGAGGAATGAGGAAAGAGATATGACATGGTGACAGGATTGGGGGAGAAATGAGAGTTTTATTAGGGACGGCATTTTCACTTTTGGTGAGGATGGTGGGGGTCTCAGACACAGGGGTGCGCATCAGGATGAAATGGAACAAGCGATTTATAGTGCAATCACATGAGAAACAGGTGAACCATGCCCCCAGCTGCCTTTATTAAACTCGCATAAAGAAATTCTATTAACTGTGTGTTAATAGAGAAGCAGTGAGTATTAATAGAGGAAAAGTATGATATCCTTAGAAATTATTTAACAATAAGAACACAGACCATTTAGGGAGAATTCTTGTGGCAAAATTTACATATCAGTATGAAGAATCCATTCATCCATCCATTTTCTGCCTATTTATCTTGAACTGGGATGTGGGGGGGGGGACGGGTAGTCCAGGGTGATCCTACCCCAGCCAGGAAAGGACACCAGCCTGGGGTACACCCCGGATGGGATGCTGTCACAATAAAACAAACCACAAGAATTAACACTGTTGCTTTCAAACTGCAGAAAAAAGCTTGGAATGGAAATCAGTGGGCTACACAGGGAGATTTCAACCAGGTACCGGAATCTGTAGCACAGGATTTTAACAACATCAAAGTTCAGTGTCACTATGCGTTTGGTTTGCTAGCTCAGTTATTAGCGACAAGCAGCTGGTGAGATATTTGGTGTGAAATGGCTTCAGCTGCTAACAACAGACAGAAGTAAAGGTGGCTGAAACTTTAGAAAAGAGCCAAAAAATCCTTATCTTAGGGTGTGAAGCTTCAGGTGACCCTAACAAAGATATTTAATTAGTTATGGGCTTATCTATATCTATTGTGCATGCTGTGTTTGTTTATTTTGTTTGTTGGTTGTTTATTTGTGCCATATTTTGGCCTGAGGATGCAGGATTTCAGTAAAGTGAAATATAAGCGTATGTTTGATTTATGAATTTGATTTATGAACTCACTCTAGGACTCCAGCAACCAAAGCTATGCTTACACAAAATACACTGATCAACAAGTAATACAGGTAATAAATTGATTAAATAAGATAACGATAACATATTTCTTAGTTTACATAGGCATAAAATTAGCTGTACTGGCATTATAAACTTCTGGCTCCCTTTGGATTCCCAGGTTTTGACAACACAACTGGTTTCCTTGGAACCTTACCATGCTGTTTAAGAGAACATTTCAGTTAGCCCAGCCAATCAGCTTAGTTTAGGAAAATATCCAAATAAGGTAATGTATTCTGCATGCTTTGCTGATTCTTGGGGCTGTCATGGTGGCTCAGTGGGTCATAAGTGTGACCTCAAACCTCTAGGGTTGTGACTCTGATTCCTGTCTTAGTTATGTGTGTGTAATGTTTTATCTTTATACTTTAATAAAATATTATGCCAGCAAACCGTAGTCTTTGTGCTCTCACATACTGATGAGCAATGTGCTGGCCTTCACCACTACAGTCGTGCTTTAATCCACACACACACACACACACACAAACTCCAGTCCTGCGGGGCCAGAGCCCTGTGTAGCTTAGTTCATTCCCTGTTCCACCACAAATGATTCAGCTCAAGAACTGTGTTGTAATTAGTACAAGGAGTTGAATCAGGTGTGTTAAATGAGGGGAAACCCAAAAATGTGCAGGGTTCCAACCCCCCAGGACTGGAGTTTCACACCCCTGATCTAGTAGAAAGGTTACCTAGCAAAAGGTTTTGCTAAATAACATGACTTTTTTTTAAAAAAATTTGATAATGCTTTTAACGATGACTGTCAGTAAAGTTGCTATTGTATACAGAGATTCAGATGGGATGTCTTTGTATACAATGTCACCCTATTTATGGTCTAAAGTGGAAACATGTGAAGACTAAACTCTGGATTGGCCACTTTTGGAAGGTCTAGCCCCCACCTGAGGTGATAATTTCATGACTAAACATTATGTAGGTTTTACATCAGACTTTTGGAGAGTGAGGTCACCCCCTACAATTGAGTGTGATGTGTTGTTTTGAATGCTTGGTTTGAAATGGTCAAAAAAGTCTTCATATTCATATCTTTAAGTTCTTTTTAAGTTTGATGTCTTGAATTTATCTTTTATGAGAGTTGGGAACATTTACTTGTTTTACATTTTTTTAGGAAATGCTTTTTTAAGGATCAGAGGGCAGGGTCAGCCACTTCCTGTAGCATTCAGGGTTTTGGGTCTTGTTCAAGGGCCTGAATGAGAAATCACTTTGCCAACACTGACATGTGAATGGGTGACTGTCTGAACATGAGCGCAGAACCATACACCACTCTCTTTTATTTTGTTCATTTACAGCAGTGTTTCCCAATCTGGTCCATGAGGACCCATATCCATTCCAGGTTTTTGCTTCTTTTTACGAACCCTCTCAACGGATCTGCTTTCTGTTTATTTTTAATTTATATCTATTTGTTAAGGAAAACAGAAGTGTGTGATCCTAACTGTACACTGCTCCTAGCACGTCTTTCTGTGTTGTGGCGGTAATCTGGCAGGTATTTTAAATTGGTCAGTCAGTGGAGGTGAGAAAAAGACCAAGAATTAGTTAAAAAGCAGAGAAAGCAGGACATACAAATGTTTTTTTTTGTCAGACAGTAAGGAACTAGATACATGTATAGGTAATATTAGCTTAGTATATGAAGGTTAATGTTTCTTGGACCACAGAACTACATAGTGCATGGCAGGGGAAACCATGTACCATCAACATAAACTTCCATGCCACACAGAGAGACAGGGCCGGGGAGAGGCATGCAGAAAGCAGTGGCCAGACAGGGACAGGGAGAGGCATGCAGAAAGCAGTGGCCAGACGGGGACAGGGAGAGGCATGCAGAAATCAGTGGCCAGACGGGGACAGGGAGAGGCATGCAGAAATCAGTGGTCAGACGGGGACAGGGAGAGGCATGCAGAAAGCAGTGGTCAGACGGGGACAGGGAGAGGCATGTTGAAAACACTGTCAAACATTCTGTGAACAATCATGCTTCGTCTTTCCCCTTTTACCTAAAATGCCCTGGACTAATTATAATCATTATTGTAGATATTGAAGACATCAATAATGGTATTTTTTATGGTTATGCTAATCAGCCATGCTCTACTGATCACTTCTTGCATGGCCATTAACATAAATTTGTGAAGTGACAATTAAAATTCTATTTCATATTGAAAATAAAAATAACTGTCGTGCTATGTTGGGGATTTGTGATCATTATGGTTGAAAGAAATATTTAGAGATTCTTTAGAATTTGTGTCACCTCATTTTTTACATTGACACAGACAAAACTTCATGCCCCATTTTCCCTCACTATTCAAGAATGATCTCTTGAAATGTGAGATTCAATACTCCTCCAAATAGTGAATTGTAGCTGCACCTGAATACAGCCAGCACAGAGACAGGGTCAAGAGCTTTATTTAGTATCTGACTGAGCATTAGAACAGCTAAGCAATTCTGAATGTAGAGTGATTGTTGGTACCTTAAATGGTGGTCTCAGCATCACAGAAACAGCCACTCTCCTGGGATTTTCACACACTACAGTGAAGAAAAACATCCAGTTACTCACAGTTCTGTGGGCAAAAACACCTTATCGATGAGAGTGGTCAGGGGAGAATGGCCAGAATGGCTCATTACAGGTAACAGGAAGGTCATAAGTGCAAAAATAACAGCTTAGTACAATAGTGCAAGTGTGCGGAAAGGAATCTCTGAGCACATAATTTGTATAATTTGTATATGGTCTGGAAGCTAGCTGGTATTAGCTAGTTGTACCTAATAAAGTGGCCATGTATTTGAGATCATGTTGAACATAACATTAGTACTATGACATCCCTCATAATTAGCAAGAAGTTGCAAACACCTTCCCCTTGAACAAAATTATTTCTAATCATATGACTGAAGAATACAATCATGATTCTAAATTTAACAAGTCAGACTTGAGGCCTCCCAGCAGTTGCAGATTCTATCAAGGGCAAAAAGGTCAACTGCCTTGGGTGACATGTTCCGAGGGGACACTGACTTATCATACCACAGGCATCAAACCACTCCTGGCTGATGACTTTAACTTTTGCCTCTCCCCCGGTTAACAATGGTTGGGTTGGGTGGGGGGAGGGACTACAGTGAGGAATTTGGCTCCGATTTTGCCCGGGGCACCAAGCATGCCACTGATTAATTACATCTTAAACACATCCAGTATGTTTACATGTACACTAAGAAAATGATTCTGTTAGTCCCATTGAAATCGTACTAAATCGAATTTCTCTAAGTCGGACTAAGACACCCAGATAATGTGATTGGGAGTCGATTTATTCCTGCATGTAGACGTTTAATCGGACTCAAACTGGCCTAGGCGCTCTGCACATGCTCCACATCCCGGGCTTTGACCTGGAAGTAACAGAAGAAGCCGGTACATAGAAGCATAGGGGAGGACGTACAGCACATAGGGAATGTACAGCGCTGTAAAGCTGCCCAGTTCACCGCACTGGGTACTATACTTTTGGTATATCAAGAAGGTACCAAAAATACAGTGCTTCAAGGTGTTGGTTTTCCACTGGCATGAAAACTGGTGTCGAATGACATCACAACACGAGGCAGGGTATTTTGTACTGAAAAGGCTTTTTCTTACCTGTACAACCGGTGTCAGAGCTTGGTCTGCATTGTCGGCAGTAAGTTGGACTCGTTTCCGGTGAGGATTGGATTCTGCCAGGGCTGCCATTTGTCACTGATTCTGTTCATAACTTTTATGCCAGGGCATTGAGGGTGTCCAGTTTGGTGACCTCAGGATTAGGCCTCTGCTTTTTGCAAATGATGTGGTTCTGTTGGGCTCATCAGACCGTGACCTTCGGCTCTCACTGGAGCAGTTCGCAGCCGAGTGTGAAGCGGCTGGGCTGAAAATCAGCACCTCCAAATCCGAGACCATGGTCCTCAGCTGGGAAAGGGTAGAGTGCTCTCTCCGGGTCGGGGAGGAGGTCCTTCCCCAAGTGGAGGACTTTAAGTTTCTCGGGGTCTTGTCTTTCGGGGGGGGACTCAGAGTAGAGCTGCTGCTCCTCCGCATTGAGAGGAGCCAGATGAGGTGGCTCAGGCATCTCGTCAAGATGCCTCCTGGACGCCTCCCTGGTGAGGTGTTCCAGGCATGTCCCACTGGGAGGAGACCCAGGACATGCTGGAGAGCCTATGTGTCACGGCTGGCCTGGGAATGCCTCGGGATTCCCCCAGAAGAGCTAGACGAAGTAGCCGGGGAGAGGGAAGTCTGGGTTTCCCTGCTTAGACTGCTGTCCCCGCGACCCAACCCGGAAAAGCGGTAGATGATGGATGGATGGATAGATGGATGGAGGGATAGAACTTACGAATGACATAGCGTTAAGAAGGCTTCAGGAAACTCATCCCAGATCCCAATTAAAGCTTATG